GTCCGGGCTGTGAATGCAGAAGTGATGTGTGTTACATTACTTCCGCATTCACCTGTCAGTCATCTGGCTGCTATAGCCAGAGAGAAGAAACTGATAAAGCAGATCTCTGCTTCATCAGCTTCTTTTGGGGTCCACAGGTGACATTAAGGGTCCTAGAGACCCCTAATGTCTCCTTAAAGAGGACCTGTCAGTGTGCCTTTGCTATTATATAGGGGGATTGTTATCCCCGCATATAATAGCAATAACAATAAGTGCAAAAAAAAATATATATAAATAAAATAAAAGTCACATATAAAAAAGTAAAATAAAATAAAAGTCACATATAAAAAAAGTGAAAAAAAAAAACCCCAAAATGTTTAACTCCCCCACGTTTACGCGCCTATAAACGTAAATACGCGCCCGGTGCCCCAGCGCGCAAAAACGACAATTGCGCTACACATGTTACATGTTGCAGTGAGAGCAATCATTTTAGGGCCATCAATCACTTATAACACTAAACCGATGAGCGGTAACAGCTTTTAAAGCGTCGCCTATTGTCAATTTTGGGTATTATCGTTATCGCTGAACACTGAAAAATGGCCTGGATGGGAAGGGGGTTTAACACCGCGGATGTCAACTGGTTAAACTGGAAATCCAAACAGAGCTTTAGTTTTATTTTAGATTGAGTGGGTAAGGCAGGGGAGTCCCTTGCTGATTTGATTGATTTTGTGTTCTATTTGAGAAGATCTCCTTCCCTTCCTGTGTAATGGGCATGATGGGAAGTGAGGAGAACTCTTCCCGCAGTTATCTTCAATTGGAGATTCATACACATGTACTGTTCTGATAAAACTGTCAATTTGGATTTCTTATGACTTTATTTTCTATTTATTTTTGAAAATAATACAATTTGGAGAACACACTTGTAGCTTATGTCAGAACACTCTAGGTGCTTTATAAGAATATATCATCAAAGAAAAGATCCAGGGAGTCTAGCACACAGCAATGATTTGGGTGTCACTTTGGACAAGGAGCACACAGCAAAAACAATCGGACAAGGGATGTTATCCTTTCCTAATTTATAGCAAACTTTTAAAATCAGTCTTTCAATGGAAGTAACATTAGTTCTTATCAAGGCCAGGTTTAATCTGCAGCACTTTTCAGAACAGACACATTCCTGGGGATAAATTTAAGTTCACCCCATATCTGCAATGCACAAAGTCAAAGGAAACCTGTACTAGCAGAGATAAGGAGGGTCATCCACTTATAGCGGTCTCACTGCTGACCTTCTTCTGAAAATGATTGTTACCTGTGAAATCTGAAAAACTTGGAACAAGCATGTTGTCATTGAAGTGAGAAGTCTTCTGACTGAATTGGGTCTCGGCATAGTACCTGTGGGCAGCAGTTACCTCCATTTGTCCTGAAATGCTGCTATAATAAGCAGATTCTAAATACATATTTAAAACTGTGGCAGGTGAAAGGCAGCTGCAACTCACACATACACTGGAGGAATATTAGCAACAAAAATGACCTTTACAGATGTTGAAGAGTAATACGGAGATTTTAACTCGAAGAGCGAGTGAGAGACAAAAATAGAACAGAATGAATTTCATAAACGGGGCCAAATCCAAAAAAGCTTACTAGTGGTATTTACATGACACCTGTAAGATGATTAGCAGTATGGAGTATAATAGGACTTTGAACATTCGTGGAGTCTATTCAAGAAAACAGGTCCTAAACCTTCCGGATATACTGCCGCCTACAGGAGGCTTGTCTATGTAATATCCCCTTTGCACACACCGTACCCTTAGGCCTCGTTCACATTGAGCGATTTATCGCGCGATTTTTGCAGCGATATCGCTCATATTTCCGCACTATATCGCTCTATGTAGCTTCACCAATACATTTCAATGTAGCTGTTCACATCTCGTCGCTCAATATCGCTTGTAGCTTGTCGCTTCTACATGACCCTTTTTTAGAGCGATTTTGAGCGATATTGCTCCTGATTGCATACAGCCCAATAGGAAGATGTCGCGCCATACGTCGCTCAAAGTCACGCGATTTGCATGTCGCTCAGTGTGAATGGGGTCTTATACCCCTGAATCCAAGGTGCTGCAACAACTGGTGCATGGTGCAGCAGCATACAACCTAGAAGATATGTTGTCCGCAAACCATTCTGCTTTGGAAAAATCTTTATTTGGATTCCTTTTAGCATGACATGTGAACGCAACATTTTGGAGCCTCCCAGGACCCCTTCGCCAGGTAAAGTGTCACTGATCAAAAGCGCTGTACATCCTTATGCTTAGGACAGCAGATCCAGATGGTCTGGCAAATCCCACAACATGTCTGTGAGAAGTCTTACCCGATTATTGTACGAGAACCGCCTGGGGTACTGAGGGCCACTGGAATGCTCTTCCATTTCGATCCTTCTGAGCTGATGAGAAATTAGGTTCAGGGGAAGAAAGAGTTATATCGGGGTGTACTGAACCCACAAAGTCACGAATATGTCCACTGTTTAGCCCAGCAAATCCCAAGACCTGTATACAAACCTGGCCTGGTTGTTCTACTCATACCTGGAGGTCCACATCCAGTGTCCCCCACCTGTGACACAGGTACTGGAACACCTCTACACGTTTCTAAAAAGCAGAGACCTCCATGGTTTCTGTGTGTGTTGTAAAGTAGACACCACTCCAAGCTCACTCCTCTGGTAGACTACAATCTCAATACACATTAGTAAACGAAGCGTGAGATTGTAGTCCATCACAGGAGTGAGCTCGGAGTGGTGGATACTTTATAACACACACAGGGACCATGGGGAACAAAAGTAGTCACCCTCCAGAAGGAAGGACAGTGTCAGCACCAATTTAGAGGATCTACAGCCAGGTACTTGAATGCATTTTTACCATTTACCTCCTGAGTATCACTTTACGTCATATGTGCACTCCATGGAAGCTAATGGGACACAAAATGTACTCTACTAGCTAAGCCTAAACTGAACGCTATGCCCACAATTATCCCCTGTTGATCCAGAGGAAGGCAAAAAAACCCTATAAAGCATTGTTCAATTTGCTCCAACAGGGGAAAAAAAATTCCTTCCTGATCCCATAAGGCAATCGGATATTCCCTGGATCAACAATCTCTGATGCCTAATATATCTATAAGAACTCAATATCCAGTAATATTCTGTGCATTTAGGAATACATCCAGATATTTTTTTAAACAATTTACCGAGCTAGCTAGAACTAGCTCCTGGGGGACTAGAACTAGCTACTGTGGTGGAATGACAGCTCTGAGCTTGTTCATACCATGTCTGGAAAATGTATCCCTATGGCATTTCCGGGCTTTCTTCACACAAGTGCAGCCCGTTCTGGCCCAGACAAAATACTGCTTGTCTCATTTGGAATGCATTGAAATGCATGCAAACGCACTGGGATACACCTTTTAAGCCCCCCCAGCACTGCAACAATGAACTGCTCATTTAGGTCTAGGAGTGAAAATAAAGAAGATATACTCGCTTCTCTCCCCCTTCTCCCTGGCTGTGGTATGTCCCATGCTGTCCTCACGTCTATTTGACCTGTAGAGGCAACATGATGACATCACGGGCCTTAGATAACAGAAGCCCTGGGGAGAAGTGGCTGCAGGAACAAGTCTAGCAGTGAGGCGGGGCTGAGGATCAGGTGAGTATTTTTTTCTATATTTTCCACCCCCCTAGACAAAACAAGCACTTAACCCTTGCAGTGTGAGGGGAGCCTCACTGCAAGGGTTAATTTTTTTTAAAAGCTGGCGTTCTTTCTTAATCGCTTCCGGGTCACAATACGTCTATAGACGGCGGCCCGCAGAAGTGGTTAAAACAAGAACACAGCTGCAGCAACCGTGTTCTTGGTGTCGTTTTTAACAGCAGGCGATGGCTGTCAATGTACAAGCGATCCGGCGTTTGTACCGTGCGGCGACGTCTGCTTCCCAGGGTTCTGCTGTCCCTATGTGGCGCCTGGGACCGGTTTGGCGGGTCTCCCCGCAATGATTAGAAAGAGATTAAGCGGCTTCCAGTTGCTGATCTCTCATCCGATTACTGGACCCGGAAGTGATGGGTATTACATCACTTCCGGTGTCACTCATTACAGTCTCCGGCTCTTAGTGCCAGGAGAAGAAGCTGGGGAAGTGGATCTCTACTTCCTCAGCTTCTTTGGGGTCCCTATGTGACATTAGGGGTCCGAAAGACCCCTATGTCTCCATAAAGAGGACCTGTCACACTCTGCTATTACATAGGGTGCTTGTTATCCCCCTGCATGATAGCAATGAGGTTAGTGTAAAAAAGTGGTAAAGTTCCCCGCCCCCCACGTGCACGCACATACAAACACACGTTCGTTGCGCCTACTTGCGAAAACGACAATTGCGCTACACATGTTACATATCACTGCAAACGTCAGTGAGAGCAATCATTCTAGACTAGAGCCATCAATCACTGTTAGCACTAAAGTGATGAGCGGTAAAAGCGTTTGAAGTGTTCCTATGGGAAATTTTGGGTATTGACGTTTTTTGCGGCTTCATGGGCGAACGCAATTTTAAGGCTTGTATCTATTTACCCGCTGTGACCCCGTCTTTTATATTTGACCAAAGAATTGGGTATTATATTCTGTTTCTGTACACTACATTTTAATTTAGTTGATTTTCTTCCTAAAAATACGGGTTTGATAAACATTTGCGCAAAAACCGTGCAACATAAAAAATTGCAACTAGCATTTTTTTATTCTACAGGGCCTCAGTTTTCAGAAAATATATCATTGGTTGGGGGTTTGAAGCTGTTTTCTTGCCAAACATTTTTATTTTATCATGTGGGTGGAAATAGTAAGAAATTGCTCCGGACAGCAAGTGGTTAAAGTGACAGGAGTTAAATCTTAAAAATGCATTCAAGTCCCCTAACTATTAACAGAAATGTATCTTATCTGTGTATCATTTGGCTGTAGATCCTCAAATCATCTCTGAATTGATGCTGACACTGTCCTTCCTTCTGGAGGGGGGCTATTTTTGTTCCCCTTGACCCCTGTGTATGTTGTAAAGTAGCCACCGCTCCAAGCTCCCTCTTGTGATGGACTACAATCTCATGTTTAGTTTACAAATTTGTATGAAGATTATAGTCTTTCACGGGAGCGAGCTTGGAGCGGTGACTACTTTACAACACACACGGGGACCATGGGGAACAAACGTAGTCACCCTCCATTTTTGTTACTTGGCTACATTTTGAAGATTTGACTCCTGAGTTTAGTGTCACTTTAAAGCTCTACCTTTTTTAAATAAAAAAAAAAAAAATCAGACCTCATAGCCTTGTCACACCCGAGTATTGCAGTAAATGCGCGGGCTCTGTGTGTTTAGAAAACGGTACCATATGCTAGGTGCACTAGTGCATTGTGTTGCCTTTTTTTAACTTTATGGAAGTGTTACAAAATGATATTTAATTCAGCTATATGCCGCACAGTGTGTTGTGACAAGTTGCACTGTGTAAAAATGCAGACATGCTCTATTTGTACAAGTGCAACCTTGACACTCCAGCTGTGGTGGAACTACAATTCCCATGAGGCATTGCAAGATTCTCACAGCCACAGCCATGACTCCCAGAGATAGATGAATGATGGGATTGGTAGTGTCACCATGGCTGGAGGCTGCCTCTTTGTCCCGGTGGAATCGCTTTCTCCGTAGCTGAGGTGGCCATTTGTCGCTCCCATCGCTAGCGACTGAGATTCAGCAACGTTCAGTCCAATGACAGAACGACATGTCGCAGGCAAAAATCGTCCGCCTGACATTACAGGGGTCCCGGGGGGGGGCACCATTCCAATGGCATCGCCCAGTCTCATGACAACTGTGAGGAGAAATCTCCCCAATAGAAGCCCAACAATATGAACCTGACAGCAGTTCAGTCATGCAAAGTTTTAGTTGGAGCTCCACTTTAAAATTGTCTTCTAGGAATGTGAATACATCTGCTTTCATTTTGTGTATTTGAGGAATACTTCCTCCCCGGGCTGTTGTTGGTGATCTCTATGCTGGTCTCAAATAACAGGACATGGGCAGTGTGTGCATTGGGGCTGTAGTCAGCTCCCAGCCGGTCGTGCACGGGTTAATGCCGTAAGCTGCGCCGTGTGTCGCAAAGTGGGGCATGGGGAGCGGCGAGCCCCGGTTATATCGCGGATAATATTGCTATGTCGGCTCTGGCGGTCCTGCTGGGCCGTTCCCCGCTCACCGTCCTCAGCTGCCCCGGCCGCAGGCTTCTCCAGGAGGCCCGGGCCCGCCATGTACTGTGCCCTGGGCCTGTAACCGCATCACGTCCCCCGGTCACCCCGCCGATCTCTGCCACGTTACAGCGACTCGTGTACGGCCGAGCCGCACAGCTCCCCCTGCTCAGACCCTCCGCCCGGATCCTGTACGGGAGGAGAAGACATCAGTCCGATGGAGGCCAGAACACCACCCCGGGACAGAGCGAGCCGGAACAAAGACCGGACCTCAAGCTGGTACTGACCTAGAGAGTGCCGGGCACGTAGTGAGCTACTGTATATGGGAGCCTCACTGTTGAGTCCTGGGCAGCGCTACTGCATATGGGAACCCCTCTGCTGAGTCCTGGGCAGCGCTACTGCATATGGGAACCCCTCTGCTGAATATGGTGGTCTCACTCCTAAGTCCTGGGCGCCGAGTGCACTACTGTATAGGGGAGCCTCACTGCTTAGTTCCGGCCGCAGAGTGCTCTACTGAATATGGGGGTCTCACTGCTAAGTCCTGGGCAGCGCTACTGTATATGGGGGTCTCACTGCTTAGTCCCAGGCGCAGAGTGCGCTACTGTATAGGGGAGCCTCACTGCTAAATCCTGGGCAGTGCTACTGTATATGGGGGTCTCACTGCTAAGTCCTGAATAGCGCTACTGTATATGGGGGTCTCACTGCTTAGTCGAGTGCGCTACTGTACATGGGGTCTCACTGCTAAGTCCTGGGCAGCGCTACTGTATATGGGGGTCTCACTGCTTAGTCCCGTGCGCAGAGTGCGCTACTGTATCCAGTGGCTTCAGTGCTGTCGCCTGATTCACTATTTTGGCAGATGAAGAGTTAAGCCTTCTCTCTGACCTTCTCAAAGTGACTTTGTCTTCTGGAAAATGTAAACAATGGCTCCCTGGCACAGAAGACTTTGGATACAGACCTGTCCGGTGTCTTCCATCCTCCAGCAAAGAGTCCAACATGGACATTTCCCGGAGTGTCAGACGCCTGAGTCCCCGCTGTGGATTACTGCTGGGCCCTACGTCATCACCGAATCTTGTAGTGATGTTGGGGTCTGAGGAAGGGGGACACAGGCGTGTAATACTTTGTGGAAAACTCAGGAGTTTGGACTCACTTCCCATTGGACAGAGTGGGAAATGGTTGAGGGCTAGTTCACACCAGCCCCAATGTGCTCTGGCCGGAACGCACTGGATCGCATCCTAGCCGGCTCACTTTGCTTTGGGGTGGGTGGGGGCGTGGTGGTGCATCAAAGTCAATGGCAGCGCAGCCACGCACCCTGGTCGCAGTGCGATCGCCTGCACCGGAACGCGTGGCACATGATTGCCTGTGTTCTGGTGAGGCGGGGTTATAAAAAAATAGTGCATGCGGCATTTTTTCTGACTACACCGAAACGCAGTCATTGATGTGCCACGCGTTCCGGTGTGGCCGATCGCACTGCGGCTGGGGGGCATGACTGATTTTAAGCCATTGACTTCAATGCACCCCCACGCCCCCTCCTGCCCCAAAACAAAGTGAGCCGGCTGGGATGCGATTCAGTGCGTTCAGGCCAAAACACATTAGGGCTGGTGTGAACCAGCCCTTAGGCCAGGTTCACGCTATTCTCGGTACCAGATCTGGAATGGAGTGTATTGCGTTTTGCTGCATTCCGGAGCTTGTTTTTTTCCCTGCTTAAAATGGGCTTTCAGGTGCGTTTGTATGCGGTTTTCATGCTTTTCCATGCGTTCCTGTGCATTTCAGAACAGACAAAGTGAGACAAACAGTATTTTTCTGCTCTGGTCTGGTACGGACTGCGCTGGTGTAATACAGAGGCCAGAAATAGCATAGGGATAACACATTTTATTTATGATATGCTACGGTGTGAACTGGGACTTAGGCCTTGTTCAAACCAGACGCTGTGCGTTCCAGGCGATTCTATGTTAGCATTTCAGATGCCACTAAGTAGAATCTAAAAGGCGTTTTTATATTTTCTGCCTTTCTGTAAGTTATTGTGTATAGGGAAAAAAACGCTTGTGAATGCCTGTCACCGCGACACACGATGCTATGGTGGAAATGGGGGCTTAGGGTCACTGTACATGTTACAATCTGACTGTACAATCGATTTTAGATTGACCAAATCTATGAAATCTGTGGGCCCGCCTATACATTCCAATCAGTTTGTATCCAATCAGGAAGGTCCACTACATAGTTGTTGGTAGGAGATTGTACAATCAGACGGTAACGTGTGGTGAGCGCAAAGTGGATGTAAAGCCAAAAGTTTTTGTTTGTGATGTAATGGACATCTATACACACAAACCAAGCTAACCAAAGACCCTTCTTTCATTCTCAGGAGTAGTAACCTGTATGTGTCCATTTCCTGTTTTTCAGTATGAAAATCCCTGGACAATTCCAAATCTCCTGTCTATGACGAGAATCGCTCTGTCTCCTGTGTTGGGCTACCTTATTATTGAGCAGGATTTTAACATTGCGCTCGGAATATTTGGTCTCGCAGGACTAACTGATATGGTGAGTTTTCATTATAAATAGGAGTAATGTATTTCTGAACATAGAGAAAGGGGCTCATTATAGAAGGTTTCTGGACTAAGTGCAAAGTAATAAGCTTCCCTGTTTACATCCTTATAGTGTGCATGGAAGATAGAAGAATGTGAATGGTCGCTATAAGAAACAAAATTGGTTCTTCCTTCAGATACTTTAAAGCCCCATTCAGACACTGGACATACACAGAGGGGAATTTCTCAAAACTGGAGCAGGCAGAATCTGGAGCAGCTGTGCATGGCAACCAATCAGTTTCTCTCTTCAGTTTGTTCAGTTAAGATTTGAAAATGAAAGAGAGAAGCTGATTGGCTGTCATGCACAGCTGCTCCAGATTTTGCCTGCTCTTTTTGATAAATTCCCCTTACAGAATTTCACAGGGCGAAATATCCCCTTAGTGTGTGGTCAGCATGACAGAAGTGTCACCCGAGCTTCAATCACCTGTGAAGGCAGTTCTCTGGAAATGTAAAATGGTACAAAAGCTTCCCACTGTCTGTAAGCCCTGAAAACCATTAGGAAAACACGGGGCCTCATCACATAGGCTACATTCGCATAGGGCGTTGTGGGATTCCTGCGGCAAGAACCTGGGGATTCTGGCCAGTCAGATGTGACTGCTGTTCCCAGCAGAAGTAAATGACAGGGCCGCATCTGTCAGCAGCAGTCCTAATCATACATGGTACAGTTACATGCAGTCATACATGGTACAGTTACATGCCGTCATGCATGGTACAGTTACATGCCGTCACGCATGGTATAGTTACATGCCGTCACGCATGGTATAGTTACATGCCGTCACGCATGGTATAGTTACATGCCGTCACGCATGGTATAGTTACATGCCGTCACGCATGGTATAGTTACATGCCGTCACGCATGGTATAGTTACATGCCGTCACGCATGGTATAGTTACATGCCGTCACGCATGGTATAGTTACATGCAGTCACGCATGGTATAGTTACATGCAGTCACGCATGGTATAGTTATATGCAGTCACGCATGGTATAGATACATGCAGTCACGCATGGTATAGTTACATGCAGTCACGCATGGTATAGTTACATGCAGTCATACAAGATACAGTTACATGCAGTCATACAAGGTACAGTTACATGCAGTCATACAAGGTATAGTTACATGCAGTCATACAAGGTATAGTTACATACAGTCATACATGGTATAGTTACATGTAGTCATACATGGTATAGTTACATGCAGTCATACATGGTATAGTTACATGCAGTCATACATGGTATAGTTACATGCAGTCATACATGGCACAGTTACATGCAGTCATACATGGTACAGTTACATGCAGTCATACATGGTACAGTTACATGCAGTGATACATGGTACAGTTACATGCAGTCATACATGGTGTAGTTACATGCAGTCATACATGGTACAGTTACATGCGGTTAGGAATAGATGATTGTTAAAAATACATGGCAACCACACTATTTATAAGCAGCCTTTGTAGCAAGGTGCACATGGAAGGGCTTACCACAATACAAAACACAGAAGTTTCCCGGCACACTTCCAGGTAACCTGCAACAAAACACATTTTCCATGTCTAACAGATGTTTTATGTCTGTGAAGGTTCTCATTCATCCAGGTCATGCTATGTCTAGTCAAGGCAACTGGACTTGTAGTATTGAAGACGTTTCACTGGTCATCCGACCAGCTTTCTCAATTCAGAATGACTTGTACAAAAATTCCCTGGGAATATATATGGTGAATGTTGCTCCAACAGATTATGTGGATTGGAGCAACATTCACTATATACAGTATATTCCCAGATAATTTTTGTACAAGTCATTCTGAATTGAGAAAGCTGGTTGGATGACCAGTGAAACGTCTTCAAGAAAAATACAACAAGTCCAGTTGCCTTGACTTCTTTTTTACAGATACAACAGATGTTTTAGTTGCAGAACTTGTGGAAGCCACACTGCCTCGTCTGTGTAGTGTGGCCCTAACTCTAATTTTTGAGTCGCCATATGCATACATTGAATTCAATTTATCTACTGCTTAAATATGCTCCAAGATGGAGACCCTCAGAGATTAGAGTGAGGATCACACTACACAGAGGGGCCTTGACTGGGCAGTACGGCTTCCACATATTTTGCAAATGTAGAGCAATTAAAACCTGTTTTTAACGCACGCTGTTAGACATGGCAGCTGGTACGTGTGCTGGGAAACATAATTGTGCCTGGATCGGTGTGTCCAGGGACAATCCTCTATCATCTATGTACAATCTTTTGGGTCACAGAAGTACATTTACTAATGAGTTCCTGTTACATTTACTATTGTTCCCCTGTGACCCAAAGTCAGTGTCTGGGGGGCTCCTGCCCGCTATTGGCTGACAGCACAATAATACTTCTGGCTCTCATGCAGTAAAAGGAACTACTGCAACTCTGACAGTACTTTGAGCACTCCAGCTGTTTTGGAACTACAAGTCCCATGAGGCATTGCAAGATTGTGACAGCCACAGGCATGACGGTGTTTGTAGTTTCACAACAGCTGGATTGCTGAGGTTGCCTCCTCCTGACTTATAGGGCAGATGTGTGGAAATAATGGCATGTTATTTCTCTTTCTAGCTGGATGGATATATTGCACGGAATTGGGCCAATCAGAAGTCGGCTCTGGGAAGTGCTCTTGATCCACTTGCTGACAAAATCCTTATCAGTGTTCTATATGTATGTTTAACATATGCAAATCTGATCCCAGGTAAGAATGTACATTCACACAGTTGTCTTTTCATGGCGCTCCTATTGGTCTCATCCGTGTTCTATTTGCTTTTACACTCTTTCCTTTAATACACAGAAATTAGGGATGCACCGATGCCGTTTTTTCGGTATCGAGTGCGAGTACCGATATTTATATTTCAGTACTCACTGATACCGAAACCGATACCGGTACTTCCGGTAGCATAGAGCTGGCTTCCCGGGCAATCAAGAAGCCTGGCGGCGTGTCATTACCCACCGCCCGGCTTCTTAATTGCCCGGGAAGCCTACTCCATTTTGTTTGGCCAGCTTGATGCTAATTGGCCGGGAAGCCGGCTTTCCAGCCAATTATCATCGAGGCCAGCCAAACAGATCTGACAATATGGTGACACAACCCCCACCCTGCAGGCACCTCATTCCCCTCGCATAGATCCTTAGCAGCAGTCATTACAATACCAGTCCCTTGGTCAGCTGGGCAGGCATCGCTCTCCAAGCTCTCCCAGATCTGCCCACGTCTCCTGTGTGTACAGCACCCACGTGATCGGCCCTCAGCCTCCTACTGCGCATGTACAGACTGCCCAGTGCTCTCATTCAGGAATCCTCTGCATGCGCAGTAGCAGGCTGAGGGCACGTGGGCACTGCACACAGAGGAGACGTGGGCAGAACTCGGAAAGCTTGAAGAGCGGTGTCTGCCCAGCTGGCCGAGGGACTGGTGCGGTAATGAATGCTGCTAAGGATCTATGTGAGAGGAATGATTTGTCTGCAGGGTGGGGGTGGTGTCGCCATATTATCATATTTGTTTGCCCGGCTCGACACTGATTGACTGGGAAGCCGGCTTCCTTGCCAATCAGCATGGAGCCAGATTCTCGGCTCCATGTTCCCTCGCAGCAGTGCCGGTCAGAGGAAATCTTCCTCTGACCGGAAGTTCCAGTATCGGGAAAGGTATCGGAGCATTTGGGCGAGTGCGAGTACTTGCCCAAATACTTGGTATCGGCACAGATACCGATACTAGTATTGGCATCGGTGCATCCCTAACAGAAATGTATAATTGTTCTTTGTGACAAGCACCATATGCACAGTGTAGCAGAGGCTTGTGGCCAGAGGAAACCATGAAGGTTCTTCTTTACTCATGCACTGAATCCTTGATGGGAATGTAGAGTAGTTTTTACATTTTTTTCTTCCTTTTATTGATTTATGGCAAACAAAACAAAATACATTTTCAGTCCAGTTAACCAAAATAATGTTTCCTTCTTGGCTACAGTGAAAGAACCCCATTAACAGAGCTCAGTAAGTCATCACAGTAGGAGCAGTGACTAAGACTTTATCAGATGGCTTAGGCTGGTCATACAGGTTCATGCTGAACTAGAGAAATCACTTAACTCCCCAGTGTTAAACAGGAATCTGCACTGCTGTCTATTGTATTCAGACAGCTGCCTACTCCAGCGTCTGCTTGATTGGCTGCATTCACTGTTCAACCAACTATTTTCTGCCAGGCTCCATCAAGTTTGAACTCAACTTTTGTAGAGCGGTGTGGTACCAACAGGACCACCCATGGCTTAAATTTCATCGGATTCAGCAGGAATTTCAGCAGGCCCAAATTCAATCCGGCTATGGCCAACTTTAGTGTGAGATTTCCCTCATACAAATAGAGCTGTCTGTTTAGTTAACTCACGGTGCTGTAAGAAACCCTTTTCATGTATTAAATATTTATTTGTAAAGCATATATAAAATCGGTTTTAAAAGTCAATCCAGAGAACAAACTAAAATAAAGCTGACACTAAACTATTATAGTTTTATAGTAAAAGCAATTTGTACAGCTGTGCCAGTACTAGACTGTGAGTGAAGGGCAAGCTGGCTTCATTAAAATATGAAAAGGTGAGAATTTGGAATGTGCCAAGCAGTTACCTTGATCATATCTGCAGGTGTCTGTTTTGTATTAGTCAGGACAGCACTGAATGCCATGTATTGCTTTTTACATTGCACTGCTTTCTTCTAGCCCAGTTGTTCTGCTGACGTGTGTCTTTGCTGTTTCTGTTCCAGTTCCCCTAACAGTCATGATCATTTTAAGAGATATTGTCTTGATTGCTGCTGTGTTTTATGTTAGATATAAAACGCTACCACCGCCTGTGAGTATTCTTTTTTTTTTTTTTCTTTTCACTGTACAATTTGTCATTTTGTGATTTGATACTTTGTGGAGTTGGGAGCAGTAAAGCGCTGGTGACACAGGTTTAGCTGAAAGATCAATTATCTACCCTTGATATCTTGGCAGTGTGCTTGGGTGTCTGTAGCTTTTGCTAGTCCGGCATCTACCAGGTCCTGTAAGGGTCAACTAGATTATAATGAGCACTGAGTAGTGTAGAATTACTCTCACTGGTGAGGCACAGCTCCTTAAAGGAGAATTATGAGGTGAGTGATTTTCACTCGGCCTCATAATCTGAGCCGACCTGTGACAATGAAACTGTCACAGGTCGGCTCAGTAGATCGGAAAGTGAGCGAACGCATACTGTCACTCGCCTACTTCTTGATCTATCCCTGCAGAGAGTAGTGACTGTCACTCATGGCTCTGTGCAGGGATTCCCCCTCCCCTGTCCGATCCTCCAACGCTGACTGGCGGAAAGCCTCTGGATAGGCAGAGCCAGCTGTCAATCCCGCAGCTGGGTGGATCTCGACAGCAATGTCGGGATCCGTCCTGGCTGCAGCGTCGCGGTATACCGCAAGCTGTAGCTCGCGGTATACTGAGCTCTGGGTCACGGGAGAACGCCAGTTTGTGTTCTCCTGTGACCCTTAGGAGAACTATGGGGAAAAGCCCTGACCCCATAGTTCTCCTTTTAATGATACCTCTGCCTAATGGGAAATGACCTGACAGACGAGTCACTGATACTTAACATTATTTAGTGTGAAAAATTGGGCTTTTCAGGGTGGAGTCCATATTAGAATTAAAATGAATCCTGTAATTTGTGTCCTCCTTAAGAGCCCAGTCTGGTAAGAAAGTTTTTAGAAAGGTTTCAGAGTCTTCGCAGCCAAAGTCAAGTTCCACATTTGCCATTTTGCCATTCGTTTTTGTGAGTGCTTTCAGTGAAAGCCAAATCAATTTCTGCCCAGGAAACCTGAGATTTCGCTCTCAGGAGGGCGCTTACTAAACACTAGCTGGAACAAATAGCGTGCTTGATCCTAGGTGAGGTCATACATTTTTACCTTTTTACATGTACTTTGGAACTGAATGAATCATAGGGATGTACTGATACTAGGGATGCACCAATACCAGTACTGGTATCGGTTCTGATACTGATCATTTTCACAAGTACTTGTACTCAAGAAAAGGCCACGATACCAGTGCTTTAACTTTCAAACTGATTCGGCTGCCTGAGGTCCCACACTTGCTACCGGGGTTGCAGTGGTTGCAGCTGTGACTGAGTCCTGGCACTCCACCACTGTCCAAAAAACATTAGTCTGTATTGTTTTAGAAAATCTGTCACATGGCACTAAAAAACATAGTTATCTGTAATTGGTATCAGCGAGTACTTGAGGAAAAGTATCATTGCTCGTACTCGGTCTGGAAAAAATGGTATCAGTGCATCTCTAATCGATATCCGTTTTTCCAGACCGAGGAACCCCTACTATATTGCGTTTCTATTTGCACAGCAGAATTGAAAAAAATATTTCTTAGCTTTTTAGTTGCTTCTTTTAAATTACTCATGGTACGCTGTGGGCAACATTTATTGCTTTGAAAAGATGGCAGTTTGGAGATAAGGAACAGCCGCCCTAGAGGGACAAGAATGACGGTGCATTAACATACAATGTCTTGAGATTGTTAACACTTTGTTATGACACACAGTCCTGTACATCTAGTTATCAACAGATAATGAAATCTGCCAGCACAGTACATTCAGGGTTAATTATGGCAAACACAGCCCCCCATCATAAATATTACATAGCAAGGAAGACCTAATTCCACATAAACTGAGATTTTGCCATGGTCTGCCTAACTTTAAAGAGGACTATGGCCAAACCTTTTTTGGCATTCAGTCTATTTTGGGTCACAGGAGGACATTTACTAATGGCTGCCTGATTGACAGCTGGCTCTACCTCACTAGAGCCAAAGCCAGCTGTGCCCGCCCCCTAACCTGTCCGTCCTTCCCGTCAACACTGGAGGAATGGAGAGGGGAGGGGGGAATCCCTGCGGGGAGCAGTGACTGACAACCACTCTCTGCAGGGAGACGATCGTGAACTGATCGCCCAGTTCACAAGCTATAGAGCTGGCTTGTGACAGGTGCAGTGTCACACATCGGCTCTAATTATTGGGATGAGTGGATTTCACTCTCCCCATAGTTCTCCTTTAACCCTTTGGCTAAAATGAGCTCAAATGTTGGCTGCTTACATCATCACTAAATGCCCATCCAGGTGTCTGTGGAGAAAGAACTACAAGGGAATTCCTATCCTGTGAAAGCTTCAATGGGAGTTGAATGCTCAAACTAGCCTCTTCATAGCCTCCTGCTGTACTGGAAACATAAAAAGAAAAAGTCCTCCCACTTTGCTAACCATCCACTGAATAACTGCACCAATAATTGTTTTTTTCTCCTGTTTTTCCAGAGAACAATTGGGAAATATTTTAACCCTTGCTATGCAACTGCTCAGTTAGAGCCAACGCTTATCAGTAAGGTAAGAGTGTATTCCTCTGCTGAATGAGTATAGGGCAGGGATGGACAAACTCCGGCCCTCCAGCTGTGGTGAAACTACAAATCCCATGAAGCATCTCTCTCGGGGAGTCATGTCTGTGGCTGTGAGAATCTTGCAAAGCCTCATGGGATTCGTAGTTAGACCAAAGCTGGAGGGCCGCAGTTTGGCCATCCCTGGTTTAGGGATTCATCATAGTTAAGGCAGGCATGTTATGTCTCTAAAACATCAATGAGCTTATTAAATTTGTTGATGACAATTGCAATGACCCACAGAACCATTGACCCTCAGCAGCTATGTCACCTGTGCGATGCGACATTGTAGAGGTGCTGCAGGGTGCACTTGTGTTAGCCCCATATGTGATAGCAATAATGTTAACAAAAGTTCAAAAAATTAAAGTGATATACAGAACTGCCCCCCCCCCCCC